ACGAGAAAGGTGATATTTCGCGGAACGAGACAGAACAATTCGAATTCTCGCGTGATGAAAGAAGATTTCGTGCTTGTACCTGGATAAAAGAAAAGAAAAAAAAAAAAAAAAAAGAAAAGAAAAGGAAAAAAAAACCATAAGAAAATACTAAAAAAAAAAAGTGAGGGAGAAGAGAAGAAGGGAAAGGGGAATGCATCGAAAAGGCAAGAACAAAAAAAAAAAGATAAAAAAAAATGTGCTCTTTATCCTGTGTGTTTTTTCATTTTTTTTATTTTTATTATTTATTTCTTGTTACCATCTTATTTCTATTTTCCAAGCTTGAAAATAGAAAGAACGATTACGAGAGACGACAAGCTTAGGGGGGTTGGTTGTATGGTGCATGCATGTGTGGATATATCGAGTCGTGTCATGTGAAAGCTCGATCTATGCTCAAGGCGGTTGACGTGTCCTGTCCATTGTCGAGTTCGTTCGTTCAATGCACCGGCGATCAACCCCATCCCCTTGAACCCCCTTCAACCCCCTACAACCCCCTGCACCACCCAACTATACCGAACTATCCTTCACTATCCTTGGAATTTCGATTGATAACAACAAACTATCGATAAAACGTTCGAACCCTTCATCCCCCTTCCCCACCCCCCACCCCCATCTTCTTCTTCTTCTTCTTCTTCTTCTTCTTCTTCTTCTTCTTATCATACGATGGATGTGATAAAATCGAAGCCGACAGTAACGTGATAACGTTGCTTGATGCTATTGGTGCAATATATATTTTGTCTTTTTTTTAAGTATAGGATTTATTCTTTGATATTATGAGGTCACCATATTTTACGTAATAATACACACACAACTTTATTATTATTATATATAATATTATTATTATTTATTATTATAAATTTTAATTTCGCGTGTTGCATGAAAATTATGTTAAGTGAAAGAAAACAGTGGGTTGGAAATATTCGTGGTTTTATGCACAAGAGTTGATTGTTCGGGTTTATTAGTACATGAAAATTGTACTTTTAAAAAGATGCAAGTTTTGTAAAAGAGGATTGAATGAAATATTTGTTGATATAACTTTTGTATTCAATTATGATCTAACGCGTGATTCGAATAATTTAACTAATATAGAATTTAGGTTTATTTAAATATTGATTTGTAAGTAAAAATGTTTGGGTATGTATGTAAGAAAATTTTTACGAGTCATATGATTTATTTTTCCTTTTTTTCTTTAATTGTTTCTTAGGACAACTGCAATTACTAATTGCAGTTAATGAATTCTTAGGACTACTGCAATTTATTCTCATTTCCTAAGACCATGTAGGGTTAACACAAAATTAAATGAAAATAAAATTTTATAAAAAAAATACTCGAGAATAAATAAATAAATAATTAAGTTTCATATGTGTGCAATAGGTTGAGATACTTCAAATTTTGTCTCTTTGTTTTTTGTTTCACGCGAAAAACTTATTAATATAAAATTTCGATATTATTTTACAAGAAAATAAAAGCAAATATTTTAGTTCTATGACAAACGAACGATTATTTTATCCGATATTAGAAATTTCGTGAAATATTATGATAAAACGAAAGAAATAAGTCGAGAGAAAAAAAAAAAATAAAAAAAAGAAGGAAAGAAAGAAAGATCTTCTATCACCTAGACGAGATAGAACTATTATTTCGGTTGGCACAGAAATTTTCTTCGTGTATCCGCGTAAAATCGTTACGGAATTCGTGGATTATTGCCAAATGTGTGTCGGGCCGAATGAAAAATAGTTTTCCTGTGGATTTTCTTCATTAGAGATGCGTTAAAAAAATCATACAAATTTTTTAATAACACACGAATACAATAAGAAAACTCTCGTTTATCATTCAAGATTATTTTTTTTTAAATTTTTTATTTCTCACCAAACTAACATAATTCGCGTAATAATTGATCGCGTTCACCATTAAAAAGGTTCGATCTAACGAACCTGAATAGAAAATAATAATAATATAAAATTAATTATTATAATTTATTAATAATAAAAAATAATTATAATATATAATTAATGTAAAATTAATTATTATAATTTATTAATAATACAAATAAAAATTATCATTTTGGACGAGAGAAAATAATGAATAAATAATAATAATAATAATAATAATAAAATAAGAGAGAGAAAATATGAAAGTGAGAAAGTAAAGGATAGAAGAAAAAACAACAAACTCATTGTTTAAAGCTAATGTTTTTCTAACCAGTTATATCTAATCTCATGTGTAATAAATTGTCGATTTAATGAAAGGAAGATGTCCGTGGATGAATTAGGGTCTCACCTTTTTAGAAGAATGCCTGTGATAACGATGAGGGTGCAGCATGCATACGTAACGGTCGATTGCCATGCACACAAGTATGACTGCACTTTGTTGGGTCAGGGCTCCTCTAAGAAGTGCCTGAAATGAAACATCCATCTTGAAAATGTATATATATGTATACTAACAATTTGATGTATATATCTTAAAAAAACCATAGAATATTAATTTATTATATTAATCATTTTTTTTTTTATATATCTAACAAAACTTTTCAATCACATTTCTTATGGCGTATTTTTTTATTATACTAACGCATTTAATCTTTTACGTTATAATAATTTCTTTTTTTTTCTTTTTTCTTTTCTGTTAATTTATTTTAAAATTCAAAAATATTTGACCTTGTTTGTTAATAATCGTACGACGATATCATATTTTTTTTTTTTTTTTTTTTTTTTTTTTTTTTTTTTTTTTTTTTTTTTTTTTTAGTTTTTTTTTTTTCCGATGGAAATTTTACTTTGGACA